TTAAACACAATATTCCTGTCAACGTCAAATTCTCACAAAAACCCGGCCCTAAATTAAAATCGGTACTAAATAAAAATTATTTGGAAATCACACAATACCAACGTCATTTACAAAATAACATGCAATAACTGCCCAGAATTCTACATTAAAGAAACAGAAAGAAAATTGGAAACCAGATTGACAGAACACAATAAAAAACTGTCCCATGTTTTTCACCATTGCAACTCAAAAAACCATAGTATATCTATTAAAAACACTGTCATTTTAAACAAAGAACCAAACATAAACAAACGAAAAATCAAGGAATCCATCTTAATTGAACAAAACAACCGTACTCTAAACCAACACCTCGGGGTGCTAGATACCTCTTCTAAGTTTTGCAACAGTTCCGGTCATGTGACTTCTTTGTTCAATACTGTATATATATATATTCGTGAACTTAATGCTAAAACTTTAGGCCTACCATTTGTAGAAATAAACTAAACCCAACAGAGAGAGGTCATACATAGTAACTCTCCCAGTAAGCTAAAGAGATTTAATATGTTTCTGGAAACATCCATCCTTGACCATCTACCAATCTTGCTGGGCTGTATTCACTGTTAGTACCTTAGAAAGTTTGTTTCTTGTCTTCTTTCTTTTCCCCTAACTTTTTCTTATGCCTTGCTTATTCTATATTTGTACCATACCACCTTTCACTAAAGATATATTTTCTTCTATTACTCACTTGATGTAGGAGAAGATATAAAATTTATGACATTACTGCTTTTGATACTCATTTTCCTAGGAAAAGTGAAAAGTACTGACTAGACCTAAAGAAATGTTCTTTGGAACAAGAATCTGGGTCAGTAGGAAGGTAACAAAATTGGTGAAAAAAGTGGTTACCTGCCTTGAAGATCAAGTCTTTAGAAGGAAGGTTCTAAAGATACAAGTAAAGCATCGCTATATTGAACAGAATCTTTCCGAGAAGCTTTAAATAGGTTGTTTATTGTTAATACAGTATCTTGCTAATGAATCATCTTCTATAGCTGATCTGTCTCATCGGTCATGATGCACCTGCACACCTTTCAAGTGAATTTCAGGATTATATCAATGGCAAATTCACAATTTGCCATTGTGTTTGGCTTCCAGTCTCATTATCCTTGTAAAGACATTTTTACAGGCCAGCATGTGAACAAATACAAATCCACTTCTACACTTATATTTACATCATACATTGCTGCCCCTTTAGCTCTGGGGCTCCATCTGCTATCTCTAGTTATTTTCCAAGCCAGGTGGAATCCATCGTGTGTGAGTTATTCTCTGTTGAATACTTATTTACTGCTTGGGTCTAAACCTACATTGTGTAAGGTGATCAAGTCTCAAATTCTGCTAAACATCCATGTTAGCAATTACATTGGCATCTGGGGTTAAGAAGAAATTTGATTTAAAAAAAGTCTCCTTTCTTAAGATATTATATGTTTATACAGTTTTTAATAACAAGTAGTACTTTTGAAGATTCATACTTGTTTCTGTGTTTATACTTAGTACTTACTCATAATTTACAGTATTTTATTCTTGTAGGAGAATCTGTATTTATATGTATTCTTCCAGTTGGAACTCTCGCACTTTATTTATACCTTTGTTCTGAAGACAGTTTAGACCTTTTGTGCTAATACTTCATGAAAGGTCAATGTCCACTTCAAGTTGACACCGGAATTGATTACACCTGGTGGCTGATAATATTCAGCAGCTACCTTTTCCACCTTTGCATATGTAGTCTTAAAGATACTTGATGTTGGGTGCCTGTTATCAGTAGAAGTCTGATAACTCTGACCATCTGTGCTTTTATTTTTGTTTTCTATATTATTTTGATGTTCACTATTCCGAAATTGTAGAGCCTCATCACTGGGACAGTTGTGGGTCTTTCTTTGGCTGTCCCAGAGCACTTTGGTTTGGCTACTTTAGTGACTTTTTGGCCTTTCTATATATGGATGACGATGGGCTATAAAGGGCTTTGTGGCAGGAAAGTAGAACTTACGTAAGATATTCTGATGTATGCACAATAAGACACATAGAAAATGGGAGAGTGGAGAATTATGGTCAACTTTACCTTGATGCATGATCTGCATTGCATCAAGCATGAACGCATGTCAGAAACGAAAGATTTTCAGTATTTCAGAGGTAAATACCTAGAAATGTAAAAGTTGTTAGGAATACAAATTCAGTGATAGAGTTAAATGGAAAAAATATGATAGCCTAACTTGTAGCATTTAATTGCTTACATGCTAAAACATTAAATCCCTTGTAAAAGAACAACTGAACTGCAATAAGCTTGTGATAAAACTTCAAAAAGATTTATGAACTTGTTTATTTTAATGCATTATATTAGAATATAATAAACAAGAAACTTAAACAAATAGTGATTGAAGTCTGTGGATAACACTTTTGATAAAGGATTGCCTTTGACACTTCTCCTTTTTCTTCCTTGTTAGAAACTTTCTCAATATTGGAAATGTATATTGATTTTCCTCTTGGATCAGAAATGTTTAGATTATTTCTCTGAAACAACCCTGAAGAAACAGGATTTCTTGCTGGAAATATAACCATGACTAATTGAATGTATTTGATAATTTCTGTACAGAAATAATGTTATGAATATATTTGAAACACGATTTTATTACTACTAAATGTTGTGCTTTGCCAACTAAGGCGCTGTGTATGTCTTAGATTAACAGTTTGTTAAATAGATTCATACAGTTTAAATACCGAGAATGGTAACACAGGCCTACAAATTTAAACTTCATAAAAGTTGTTTTGGTTTTAATAATGAATTTTCCATAATTCAGTTATGCAAACTTCAAAAATAATATTTTTTTTTCTATCAGTAAGGATTTTTCAATTGTGAAGAAAAAAAACATACTTAGATCAAATTATTATTTTGTTTACCACAAATATAACAGAATATGTTTGGGTCATTTACACAACCTCTTGTTGTCATAGCCTTTTCTTGCTGGAAAAATAGCCATGACTAATTGAATGTATTTGATAATTTCTGTACAGAAATAGTGTTATCAATATACGTATGCAATAGCAAAATATATTTGAAATGTGATTTTATTGTTACTAAGTGTTGTGCTTTGCCAACTAAGGCACTGTGTACATTTTAGATTAACAGTTTGTTAAATAGATTCATACAGTTTAAATACCAAGACTGGTAATCTATATATATGAAGCATTAAATGTAATATTTTGTTAAAGGCTTGAAAAGTTTAAGTAGTGGCAGTGATCAAAAACTCTCGTTATTTATCCATTGTTTCGGTTTTACATATTGTTATTTATTTCTAAAGATTGTTTATTTACCAAGCAAATGTCTTTTTTTTTCTAACGATATATGTACATTGAATGCTAACTTATTGTAATTTCTTTTAGTACGGCCATATTAGGATATCAAAAACCATTAGTTATGGAAGACATGTGGAAACTCAGTACTAAAAATACTACATCGGGAATATTGTTAAAGTTCGATAAATATTGGATACCAGCTCTGAAGAAACTTGTATGGTAGGTTGAAGCACACATTTTTTTAGATTTTTATTAATGTTTTCAATAACTGGTAGTTTTCAGTATTAAGAGCTCAAGATGAACAAAATCACAATGGTAACAGCAACAAATGTTTCACACTTTTGAAATGAAAACATGTATTTAATACTAAAATATTTTAGTGTACATATTCCATCTTCAGCAAGGTATATTGGACAAGGAAAAAAAATGAGATTCAAGAATTTATAAGTTTATGAAGTTGAAACACTTTCTAATGAGGAATTATAATACAAAGTAAAATAATTAGATAAATTAAAAATATTTTAGATAGGTGTAGAATACATATTTTAAATTATTACGGTTTTTGGGTTGTTTTTTTTTGTTTTGTTTTGCAGAATTATATAGAGCTTATTTAGAATAGATTTGACTGAACTGAAGTTGTGTTATTATTTAAATTTAGGCATTATTTGTGATAGATACTCTCTCGTTAATTAAGAATTCATTATTTAATGATACAGATGAAATAATTTTGAAATTTTTTAATCAAAATAGGATGGTTGGTGCTTTCATTATAGGTGCAAATTGCAGAGTATCAAACCAAACTGGAAAACATCTCTCAAATTCTCCAGTTTTCACAATCATTTGTTAATAATTAACTATAAATGTTTCAAAAATTGATTTTCTTCACTTTTGTACTTGAGTATTTATTATCCACAACATTGGATTTAAATTGGTTTTGAAATGAGCTATGTGACTTATAAAAAAACGTTTTTCTGTGACATTAGGCCTAAAAAGTACTCTACATGTTAGTGTTGCTAATGTTTGATGCTTATATCTATTATAATAATATTCAATTTTTGTCTGTTGAAAATGCGCTTGCACCTTACTATCTAAGTGCACATGCATGCACAATTGTTTTCAATAGATATAAACAAAAGGTAGATGTAGATACACAATAGTATAATAACATATTAAAAGCTCATTAATGTTTTTAAAAAGATCTTATGTTAGGTCACTGAATAATATTGTAAGTTTCTTTATTAATGGTATTAAGTACAGTAAAGTTTAGCCCTAACTAAACTAAAGCAAAAAACATACACAAGTTACAGCATTAATTTATCTCTCTATCAAACATAGGTCATACTTAATTTATTCCTAACTCATATTAAGCCTAAGACAAGTGAACTTAAAGATTTTGGTGTCTGTGATTAGAATTCTTCTGTATTATTCTAGAACTGTATTGAAAGAAGTACTGTTGCAATAAAGATACTAATTTGACCACAATGTTTCATGGGTCTCTGCTAGTATATTATGATTAGCAGCTTATAAAGTAACATTTGGATTTTTATTTATATATATATAAATAAAGTTTCTTCATTAATAGTAAAAACAAGATGCTGCAGTCAACAAAAGATAATGATACCAAGAAGGTTGCAGATATAGGTCACATCAACATTCTGTGGCCTATTTTGAAGACTTTTCCAGTGGAGTTCTTTGTTTCTGGACTCATGAAACTGGTAGCAAGTTTAATTGCATTTGCCAATCCACAGATTTTAGCGTAAGTTTTATATTTGTGTCTGCTCCAACAGTAGGGTAGATATTTTATTACTGGTATTTTGTTTTGTACTAGCTCTGTAATTGGAGTTGAAACTTTGAATATATATATAGATAGATAGACACACATAATAAACTGCTTAAAATTTTGAAAAATGTGTTTTGTCATTGGTAGAGTAACAAGTTAAATTTTTTCTTAATTTACCTTGTGTCTGGTATGTTATGTGTGTGCTAAAGATTAACTCTTAAGGCTGTGAGAGTGGTACTGTTTTTTGATTAATCAGCTAATGGCTTCAGCTGTACTTTTTCATAGCTGGAACAGTCCATTAGCTTCTAGACACTAGCAATTCAAAGTTGTTCAGTTATATTTTATAAAAGTGCTCTTAGTCCAATCATGTAATAACTTCTACCAGAAGAGCTGCTAGAATTATACAATAATAATTACAATTACATAGTCTTTTAAGTGCAAGTAACAGGCGAACTACAAAATTTTCTTTGACCACTCTGTTCATCAGTTGGGTACCCTTATTGCTAGTGGTGTTCTCAACCTTAATCCCAAGAACACCTGATGAGGTTGGACCTGCTTAATGATATTGCCAAGCACTGAAGCAAAGTTTCGTGTACCAAACTTATATCAGAGATTTAGTGATTACTATTTAGGAAATTTAATGATATATATATATTAATATAACTAAATACTGTAAATTATTATAGGTTATAGAAACACATATAAACTTAAGTCTTATTTAGTATGTGACAAGTTTCAGTCAGATGTACACATATCAAAAGTATAGCCTTTTTGAATATATGACTGGTAGTGTATCCGATATAGTTTTACTGATCTCAGTCCACCATAGTGTTTGAGGCTAACCTTACTAAAGAAAGTCTGCTCTAAGGCCATAGTTGAAAATGGGGAGTACGTAAAGCCAAAACAAAAACACCTATTCCCTTCCTATAGCAACCATGTTAATTACGTGATTCCACACAGAGTTAACGACCATATCATGGCAATCACCTCACCTGCACAACCTTTGGTGAAGTTAAAGGAAATTGTAAGTGTGAAATGTTAAATATTTAGGCTTGTGTTGAAGTATATACATTTGGATTAAAAAGATTCTTTATATTCTGGATTTATAATGCTAATTATACAGTTTGTACTGATTATGCAATCTGTAGTGAGTCTATGGCCACACCATGTAAACAGTTGAATAAGAATAACTTTTTTATTTTATAAAATTGTAACTTTGAAAGGTAGATTGGTGGATTTATATTAGATCATTTAAGGCAATGATAAAGAAAGTTATGCATTATCTGAAGTTACTATATTAATTTACAAAATATTTTGAAGAGAATAAAGTAAAGGTGAACAGTTCTTAAAAGCAGAAAATAATTTAAGAGAACTTAGCATAGGACTTGAAGAATGTTAGAGATGACAGATATAGTTTTAAATCTCTTTGGTGTGATAGATGCTTAAATTTGTGTTGAAGTACATGAGGTTAAGATAAAGGAAATTATTTACATCCCATGGGGGCATGTTGAAGTATGCAAGGTTAAGATAAAGGAAGTTATTTACATCCCATGGGGGCATGTTGAATTATGCAAGGTTAAGATAAAGGAAGTTATTTACATCCCATGGGGGCATGTTGAATTATGCGAGGTTAAGATAAAGGAAGTTATTTACATCCCATGGGGGCATGTTGAAGTATGCAAGGTTAAGTATATAAGTCTAGAATGAAGAAAATTATTCATATTCTGGATTGACCATTCTAATTACACAATTTATACTGAGTCAATGAACACACCCTGTAAAACATTTAACTTAGCATAACTTGTGTTAGAGGTTAGAGTTGAATAAAATGATAATTTTAGAAGGTGGGCCAGGCATGACCTATTGGTTAGTGAACCAGATTGTTAATCTGTAGATTCATGGTTCATTCCCACAATACAAAAACAAAAAAAGCATTCTACATTTTAGAGTTGTAAGTGTTCTGTGATTATGACAGCAAAAACTAACTATTTGACTAGTCCGTGTTGTGTCCATTTATTTCGTTTTGATTTGTTCTAATGGAATTTTTCCTTTTTTTTTAAAGTTGAAGAATGTCACTAAATTTCAGGTAACATCTATTATTACATAACTATTAAAAAACATCTGTGCTTATGAAATGTTTGATATTGAACTGAACTTGTCTATTTTGCTGTATATAATCAAAATGTATGAATATTATTGTCCGTAGCAGAGTGCTATTATACCTATTTGCAATATATTCCATTTGTATATAGCTTTTTCTTTTCTCTATAATAATAGAACAGAAGAGAAGGTTAGAACTGTGAAGTTTCTTGTACACTCTGATTATTTTACAAATACCAAAATTCCATTTTTTTTTCTAGATGAAATTTTCTCAGGCTTGGTATACTAGTGATTTTTTTTGTTAACAGTTTGGTGATTGCGTACATAAGTGGAGATGAGCCTTACTGGAGAGGATTTTTCTATGCTTCACTGATGTTTCTTGCCTCTATGATTGAATCATTGTTTAATAGCCAGTATGAATACTTGATATACTGTATAGCAATGAGAATTCGGTCATGTGTGACCTCAGCCTTATATCGTAAGGTAAAGTATAGAATAATTAAATAATTGTTGGCTGTTTCTGCATCATTACACATATACTTCAATACAATTATGGAGAAAAGATCATGTGTAGAAACTCTGGTTAGGCAACTGTTGATTAAAGGAGGTGATGATACTGTTAATATGGATTAGTATTTTAATGAATAACCATAATGTATTTTTCACAACTTCACACTACTAATAAGTACTAGAAGTAACATGTCATATAGGTTCTTTCATAGGTAAATGCTAAAGAATTTTGTTGCTTTTTTTTTTGGAAAACATTTAAAAGCTTTCAATTCTCCAAATATTTTCAAGGAGAATGTTTCTATAGCTCATTGGAAAGCATTACAATGTGATGTAAAAATGTTGGTATATTTTTTTAACTTGTAAAAATTTATTTAAGAAAATGTATTTTCTTTTTTATGTGTTAAAGAAGTATGTATGTGTACTTTGCAATTGAAGGCAGATTCAACAAACAAAGATTAAATGTGATTTATTTAAATATTTTATACATATGTGCTCCAACCAATTGTTAAAGAAGTGTGTATGTGTACATTGTGATTGAAGGAAGATTCAACAAACAAAGATTAAATGTGATTTATTTAAATATTTTATACATATGTGCTCCAACCAATTGTTAAAGAAGTGTGTACATTGTGATTGAAGGCAGATTCAACAAACAAAGATTAAATAGGATTTATTTAAACATTTTATACATATGTGCTCTAACCAATTGCAACTTAAGATATTTCTGTAAAATGCAATTTGCTTGTATGAAATTTTGCAATGGTTTTCAGTGGAACACGTAAATGTGTATATTTTTTTAATCACGTAGTCACTACAGTTGTCGAACTCTGCTAGAAAGAGATTCACTGTGGGAGAGATCGTGAACCTAATGGCTGTGGACACACAGAGGGTGATGGAGTTTGTTCAAATTATCAATGTAATATGGTATGCCCCACTTCAAATTGGTATCTGTCTTTGGTTGCTATGGCAACAGCTTGGTGTATCAACGCTCGGAGGTTTTGGTATAATGATTCTCTTGTTTCCTGTGAATGGGTTTATCACAGCAAAGCTGAGGAATTTACAGGTACTTGGAATGGGTAATAACATCGTATAATGGAGTAAAATGTATCATTTATGTGTTACTAGTACATGATAGTTTATTATAGCAGTTTTAACACCTTTCTAGAGTATTCCATTATGATATATGTGGTAGAAGCTGAAGACACTGTAGGTAATACCCTCACTCGGGTACAAAAGAGAGAATATTTAATGACAAGTTTTAAATTATGATTGCAGAGTTTAAGGAATTTTTGTGATATTGCATTATATGGTACCTCTAATGTTTCTTTTTGTAAGAAAAATTCTAGCACTCTTATAAATAAATAAATGGATTTTGAAGGAATTTCCAGTAACTTGTGATTAAATCTCGCTACCTATATAGATTAGAACTAAAAATTAACCAAGTAAATAAGGTACCTACATAGATTAGAACTAAAAATTAATCCAGTAAATAAGGTACACACATAATTAGAACTAAAAATTAACCAAGTAAATAAGGTACCTACATAGATTAGAACTAAAAATTATCCTAATAAATAAGGTAGCTAAATAGATTAGAACTAAAAATTAACCAAGTAAATAAGGTACACACATAGATTAGAACTAAAAATTAACCAAGTAAATAAGGTACCTACATAGATTAGAACTAAAAATTATCCTAATAAATAAGGTAGCTAAATAGATTAGAACTAAAAATTAACCAGTAAATAAGGTACCCTACATAGATTAGAACTAAAAATTAACCCAGTAAATAAGGTACTCACATAATTAGAACTAAAAATTAACCAAGTAAATAAGGTACCTACATAGATTAGAACTAAAAATAATGTTAATAAAATAAAGTACAAAATAATACAGAATAGTACATACATAAAAAAATTTAATTATTTATTTACAGAATGTTGAATTAAATAAACATTCTGATAATTTTATTTTGTTATGACTTTAACATAGTGCTGAACGTTTCTCTAAGAACAGTTTCAGAGACCTTTATAAATCATATTTAAGTCTATTTCGACAAATCATATTGGGGGGATTAGAAATGTTAGCATCTTAGTCATGTCAGAGAGAATTTGCTTTCTATGCCTTTTCTTGCAGTTAAACATAAAGAGAAAAATAACAAAAGTATTATTTTAGAAATCATAGATATTTTAGGAGAATTTCTGAAAATTTAAGTTGCTAATTATACTAATTGTATAAATTATACGAGTCAAGGCATACAAGTCATGGGGATATGATAATAAACACTTGAACAGTGTTTTAAGATGCTGACTAGGTTACATATAATGTTCGGAAGTTAAAAACTGAACCTTGATAAGAATAACTACTTTAGATTCTCTAATTTTTTGGCATTTCTGGTTTTTTAAGATTTTTATTAACTAATAAATTTTCCATCAGTGTTATGTTTTAAACTGTAATTACCATAGCAACAGTGACAATAGATATTTAAACATTTCAGTTTTTATTTGAACAATGTAATCTATTATTTATGTGTGATACTTTATCAGTATCAAATTTACATCAAGAACACAAAATTACTGCATCAGTACAAAGCTAGATTACTTTATATTTACTGTTTTAACACTAGTATCGTTATAAGGCCAAAATATCTCTTTCTCTGGAACATTAGTCTATTGCATGAGCATGGCCTTCTTTATCTAACAGTGGCTGACCTAGATACCAGTTTTTTGAAGATATACGTTAACAAAGGCAATTTAACAGTTAAATGTTTGTGTCTTGAATTTCACATGAAGTTACAAGAGAAATATCTGCATTAGCCATTCATACTTTTGAACTGATACTCCCGATTTGCTGAAAACTCGACATTTGGTATGTCTCATTATTTAAGATTGTGTGGTGTAGGGCCGAGTCTCTAAATTTGTTTAAGTTAACTATGAAATACTGTGATGAATGAAATAACTTACAGGATTGTGCTTATTTTTTTCATTCTTTCTTTTTTGCCACTTAATTTTGTAGGTTCGTCTGATGAAAGAAAAAGACATACGCATCAAGCTAATGAACGAAATTCTTAATGGGATAAAAGTCCTAAAACTTTATGCTTGGGAAAAATCATTCCAGAAACAAGCGAAAGATATCAGGGCAAGAGAAATAGATGTTTTAACAACACAGTCTTACTATTCAGGGGCTATTTATGTTGCTTTCACATGTGCTCCATTTTTGGTAAGTACATTTTTTGTTCTCTTTTCTTAGTTTTTTTTGGGGGGTCGTGTTTTCTATACTTGATGACTGTAACACTGTATATATAGATATACATATTGTTTTCTGATCCTGTGCTCTTAATATTGATAATTTCTTTTAAGAGTTGTTGATTTAATCTAAGTAGAAATTATTTGTTTTTGCTTTAAATTTTACTCAACTCTTTAGAAGGCTAATAATCTGGCATTGTTTGCAAAATAAACTGTATTTTTTGAAAATAAATAAAGTGAAACAAAAATTCTACATGAAAGGATAATATTACTAAATATAGGTATTTTTCAAGAAAATTAAATTCAGCCCTAACCATTATTTTCCCATTTACATCAGTTGATATTTCTGAAACATTGTCTCTAATTGTGTATGGTGTTTAAACTGCCAGAGAATGATCATTGAATGGGTAATAGTTGTGATAATGCATCATAATAAGATGTACATTTTTATTATAATGGAATTCACTTAATACTGGTTTGATTCTTCCCTAGTTGGGTTTTATAAATTTCAGGTACTAGCTACAAAAATACCAATGTAAAAAACTTGAATTTTATTCGAACTGAAATAAAATGAACCTCCTCTACTTTTCACTTTACCATTCTGTAACTCAAGAAACAGATGTAAGAAATAAATGTTAATCTTTTCATTACTATTGTGGGTACATTATGTGCTTTCTTATAGTTCTAGTAGAACATGTGGAAATTTGACAAAATATATAGTTTTGGTATTTCGTTCTTAATTCATATTCTTATCTAACCATAAAAAATTATATATTAGGCCACTAAGATAGGTTCTTTTTAAAAGTTATTTCCAAACTAAAAACCATCTCTGGCAATGTTGATACTGTGAGTACATACATGCCCCAACTGTAAAGGTTTTAATTTGTCTTTCCTTTTTATGCACTTATTAATGGCACAATGACTTTATAATACCCCTCCCTCAAAAGTTTGATTAGACATCCATGTTGTTGCGCTTGTTAACAAAATTTTGAGAACTCGTCAAAACATTGAATCTGTAAACAAAATTTTAGAAAATTACTCAGCAAACGTATTTAAAAACAAAACATGTTCAAACATGTTTGCTGCACATGAATTTTCTGTAAAATGTAAAAATGTAAACATTCTTTATTAGCATAAACTGACATAATTCTACAAAAATTGGCTTTAAAAAATCATTGTTCTGCTATACAGCGTTGCGTGAAATTACGATTCAAAAATTTTGGAGTAAAAAAAGGCTTTTTTTTTTCAATTTGAACAATACATTCAGAAAATAATGTGCATTCATAAGAGTTGCTCTTAGTAGGCCTTACACCTGTATGTATAAATGCTTTGTTAATATTTTTCTTTCTCTTCTTTATATTTATATGCAATGAACAGACAGATTATCGTATAAGATTGTTATGAAAATTAAAAATTACTGTAAAATTTCACTGGGTATTACAAATACAATTTGAGTAAAAAGAACATTGGCTTACAAATGTTTCTTCTAATGAAGAGTGGGGCATATTATTGATGACTTTCTAAAGAAAAGAGATTATTAGAAATTACTTAATCGAAATACTTCTTTTATCATGATAAAGGAGAAACAAACAGCGAGACAATGGAAATTGAAACTTTTTCTTTTCATTCAACTTTTGTTTAATTTACATTTGGTAAACAATAAATGTTTTACCAACAGGTAGCTTTAGCCAGTTTTACTATGTACGTCCTCATTGACCCAAGCAATGTCTTGGATGCCAGCACTGCATTTGTTTCCCTCTCTCTGTTCAACATCCTACAAGCTCCGTTGGTATTTTTGCCCATGCTACTAACTTATACCGCTATGGTAAGCAAAATAGTTTTTATTAAAGTTTTCCTTTTTTCTTTTTTGAAATGATGAGCAATTTTCACTATAGAGATTAAGCCATATGAAATAAAATAAATACTTTGACTAATTCTTGAGATTTAGAAGCTTTGTATGTTTTTTTCTATCATATGAGTAATTTAAAAGCCACAAATGCTTGTCACAAACACCTGAAGATTATTTGTCTGATTAAACTTTCAACACATCATTCTGTAAAATGCACAATTCACACCCTAAATGTCCATTTTTCTTATCAATTTTTATTTGTTTTAGCTATTGCAAAATATTACTTACCTCCAAAGGACTTACAGCTGACTTGCTTTTGGTAGTAGTAAAATATATATTGCAGGTACAGGTTCAGGAGGCATTACGTACATTTGAATAGTTAACTGGTATTATTTAATGAAACAATATTAAATCCATTTTTCCCACTACATCTTTAATATCATAAGAAGGAATTTAATGTACACTAATTAGTGATGGCTAAAGGGAAGTTGTTTGTATACAAATAATGGGATGTATTTTCTTCCTACAGTGACTGGCCACTTTGTTAGGACCACCCACCCCCTCTTCCACTTAATATTGGGTTGAAACCTTTTTATAAAAGATTGGACCTAATTTTGAGTGAAAACTATATGATTCTTAAAAAGTTCATTCCAAAAATTGCTGAATTGGATTGAGATCCAATGATTACACTGGTTAAGGATCATGACTTGCTTTTGAAAACTTTGTTGAATAACACAAGTGCTATGAATTGTTTCATTATCATCTTGAAAGAACCTTTATTCAACAGTAACTATATTCAAGTACATTCTGGATATTATTCATCCTTCTAAAGGAATCCCAGAATCCCTCCCATGTCACAAGAACATTTCCCATCCTGTGATAGCTCTCTTAATTTTTTTTTAAAATGTGTGTAAGATCAAAGAGCGTGTGTTGTAGGAGGTCCTGAGAAAATGGCCAGTCTGTGTACCTTACTGCTTGTAAGGTGAAACATTATTCGAAAGCATCTTAATAGCAATGATAAAAAAAGGTCAACAATGTGCTTTACTTGTGTACGTTCCATCAGAATTGGTTGATATATAGCAATGATAAAAAAAGGTCAACAATGTGCTTTACTTGTTTACGTTCCATCAGAATTGGTTGATATATAGCAATGATAAAAAAAGTCAACAATGTGCTTTACTTGTTTACGTTCCATCAGAATTGGTTGATATATAGCAATGATAAAAACGGTCAATAACGGGCTGTACTTGTTTACGTTCCATCAGAATTGGTTGATATATAGCAATGATAAAGAAAGGTCAACAATGTGCTTTACTTGTTTACATTCCATCAGAATTGGTTGATATATAGCAATGATAAAAACGGTCAATAACGGGCTTTACTTGTTTATGTTCCATCAGAATTGGTTGATATATAGCAAGGATAAAAAAAAGGTCAACAATGTGCTTTACTTGTTTACGTTCCATCAGAATTGGTTGGTATCCATCTTGTAATCTTACTTGTACTTCCAGTTTTTGGTATCCTTGAACCGTATTAACACATTTCTGGGGAGCGATGAGATCAATCCTGATGCATTATCTCATGATGACAGTGAAGGTGAGAGTCATGTTTGTGTTAAATGTTTGTTCTTATCACATTATACATTAGTCTAAAGATGTACAATGTCTTCAGAGCTACTTTATATAATGAAAAATCACTACTAATAATTTTTAACACTATTTTACTTTCTCAGTCTATATTAGTGTTGAATGTACTATAACAGAATGTGTATTTGCTTTGTAGTTAACAGTCATCTTATCATATACCACAAAATTAATTTTTGAAGCCAGTTTTCTCATTGGTAAATATGGGGACAGATATTTATTTCAGTGCCAATAATAATATCTAATTAATCCATCTTAATAACCAAAATCCAAATAATTTAAAACAATAATAATGAATTGATTTCATTTCGTTTGTCCTGTGTAAATAATGATTTGTTAATTGTTGTTGTAAGATATCCAATATTATTCGTCAGAGTGCCAGTCAAGACATATTGAAACTTAGTTTTTAATTGCTGTTACAGGCCTGCAAGTAAATATTTTTTATTGGCAGGACGTATGTCTGAATATGTTACCATTTTGATCAGACGTAAATTATAATTTTACTAAATTTGGTTGGACATACCAGTTTTATCATTTAAGATAAAATTACAGTTATCTTTATTTTGTTGCTTTTCCTTTATGAAGCGACTGTGTTAAAAGCAAGTCAAATATAAAACAGTTATGATAAATATAACTTTGAATTACAGAGTTTGACACTATTCTAGTCACAAGTAATGTGCACTGTTCAAGTGTCAAGTGCACACCTGAATATCATAATTAAAAATATAGGTGAAAACAATAATTCTTACTCTATTTCAATAAATTGAATGGTAAAATATTCAATAATCAATATTTTGTCATATTGTAATACATATTTAGTGTAATTCATGAAGAAAAATGAAAAAAAGCTCAAAACTTAAATTTCAGCACAGCTCCATAAAGTTCATCTGTAAAAATATGTAAATTTCACATTTGGGTTTTGTTTTTATTTTATCATTGTGTATGACATGATAGTTTGTGGAATGAACCTATTGACTGTGTAAAACTAATATATGTTTTATGTGAGATAAAGTGTTAACCACCATGTAGAAGTCAAGTAGCAACAAAATATCCCACCTATTATGAATGACTGTGTTACCTGTAGAGTTGAACTGCCCTTATGTTTTAAGAAAATTATATTTACAACTAGGATTAGGTTATTTATTTCAGTTGCAATTGAAAACACTTTAATTTTAGTTGTGAAACTGCATTAAAGTGAGTGAAGTCTTACCCTTTATTACAGCTGTTCTAAAGACTTGTGATTGTTGTATTGGTCGCTGTTTTTTTTTTCTTATATTCCTTAGAGATTGAAGTTAGTTTTAATTCACAAAAACAAGTTTCTGATTATAATGGTTGTTAGGATATGCTGATTTTAACTCACTGAAGATTATTTTGTTCTTGGGGTTATCTAGAAGACTCATTAGTGATGGAAAATGCTTCATTTGCTTGGTCCACGAATGAAAATCCAACCTTGAAGAATATTTCTCTGAGAATTAAGCCAGGATCTTTGGTTGCAGTTGTAGGTCAGGTTGGTGCTGGTAAATCTTCACTTTTATCAGCCTTCCTTGGTGACATGGAGAAACTACAGGGATATGTTAACATTAAAGTAAGTTTCTTTTTTTCAGTTTAAAACAGATCAATACTTTTTATTAAAGAAACTTACAATTTTTTGTAAAGGATATACAAAGCCTTGTAAGTATGTTTTCGGCTTGATAACATCAACAAGTACTAAGTGTTAACTACTTCAAGTCTACTGACGTGATTGGTTAACATCCAGAAGAAGATGCAAGATCAAGGATCATGGTAATAAAAAGCTTGTCACTAGTAAAAAACTTTCTGTTTTAAACATGTATACATTCCAATGTGCACTAAACTATCTTCATTGTTCTGAACCTTTCATAATTATGTTGAATTAATGGATGTTCTTCATCAATTTTTCTAAGGAAATGTATTTGATGATCAGTCAGTAAAATTACTACTATTGATATCTGATCTCCATTATATTACACTAAGAATATAAAATAGTTACAATTAAATAAGAAGGTGTTTTTTTTATTCTACCAGTTATTGTACTATTGAGTAATTTTTTATTATTTAATAAAAAAATTAGAATATTAATACTTAGATACAAAGAATATAGTAATTCCTTACTGTTCCAATGTATAACATTTCAAATTCTGTATTTTAACATAATTTTCTGACACAAAAGTGGAATGTAATATATAAGAAATATTTGCTTGTAGAATGTGGTACAATAGTAATGTAAAGTTATTTTCCATTTGTAATTGCAATATTGGTATAAGAGAAATTGTTATTTAATGAGAGTTTTACTCTCTTAATACAAGAGTTTGATCCTAAGATCCTCTTTACTGTCAGAGCCACAAAATACACTGAAATTTTCATCCAGCACTCTGCCTTGACAACCACTGTCTAGACATCTGGATATATTTGAATTATTGTTGGCTGAAGTTGATTGTAGATGCTTTCAACCTTTTGTGGCATATCCTGCAATGTGCGGAAATTGAGTCGCAAATTTCACTTGTACATTGTACAGCAATACATGCAGTAACTCTGATATTTCTTAACGTATCATCTCAAAAACTGGTAATATTTTGTTAAAGATAATAAGTATCTTGTACACAAAGAATGACGTTATTATAATTAAGTGTTTTTACTAAAAATGTTATTTTTCTGTTTTAGTTTTTACTTGCATTCAAACTATTAACAAACTGAGTGCAAGATGATTTTCGTTTTAAGTATACAAATACTTTTCTTCATCTTATAGTTTTCATATTTCATTTGCATAATCTCTAGAACCTCCTAAAAAGATATCAAAAGTTTCTTAAGGTAAATGTTTATATTTTATTTTTAATTTTCTCTGCCATATCACTAACTCTTGCTATTATCATCAACATATAATGCAATGAAATAATTAAAATAGAAAAGAATTACATACCTTTTATTTTTTGTAGAACATCTGTAAAGATTTTCCTTTTGTTAATCAATTCGTAATTTAAGGTCTTTTCCTTTTCACATATAGTTAATTTTTAATGTTTTGTTTTTCCTTTACCATTTATTATTCATCTCCACTCAAGTCGATGGTGCCCTCGAGGCATATTATAGCTTCTTTGTGAGACATGTACAACCCTTTGGCAAAATTTTCATTCAGCGAGTAATATCGTAAGCCTCGAGAACAGAAGCAAAGTATGATGTGCATTTCAAAAATCTTTAAACATTTTAATTATGCATTTTAAAACATAACTAATGCATAATTAACTAAAATATAATAGTAATTCCTAAATACAGTTTAAACTGTATCTCTAACTATAACATATTTAGGTAAGAAAAAAAGTGCTATAGTTGATCGAGCAGCCAACAATAATACAGTCAATTACATGTAATTCATTGCAAGATTATTGTATAAAATGAGCTCTTTCAAATGATTATACATGTATATGTATCATCTTCATGTAGGCTATAAAGCTAAAAAAAAAATATTTTGAAAGTGGGTGTGGCACTTGTCAGAGATTGAAAATTTTTTTTCCTGTTACAACTGTATTCATTCAAAGAACTTTGAAATGAACGAGTTAAAAAGTTATGTAAGCATCTTATTGTCTAGACATAGCTCTACTTAACTACCGTTGTATTATTGAAGATACAAGAGAATCAGAGTAGAGCATTTTTAGAGCTTGTTGGTCACATGACAATACATCTGAAGATGTAAGTAGTTTTTCAAAGGTTTATTTTGAAATATAGGACTTAAAACTTGGATAAAATAAACTCCAAACCATAACATACTTTATAATGTTAATTTCGTTCACATATATTGATAGTAAAGGTGTTTAATTATATTTTGAATGTAACACAGTAACATGCACAGAAAAGCATTTAAAGGTGCTCCCATTATGAAAGGATTAATATGTTGTTCAAAACAGCAACTTGTATAACCAATGTAATCTCAACCACAGTGAAAACAAATAAAACAATAAACAACATATGAGCATTGATATTTGCCAGTCATGTTCTTGAATTTAAAAAGTGTAGGTTTTAAGACCACTTACACAAATATCTGTGGATGATGTTTAGTTATAACGTTCTTGATCTTATTTCACTGTTCATAACTGTTCCTATCCATGTACAGTAGACAAAACTATAACAAACATATATATGTAATATGCTTTAGGAGAGGTGTTAACTTCCATCAATAACTTTTTAATCACATTATTGATCAAAGATTTGTTTTAAGAAATAGTGTGATTTTGGTTTAATCATTGTTTTTTTGGGTGTTTTTTTTTTCAGGGTTCTGTAGCCTATGTTCCACAGCAAGCCTGGATTCAGAATGAATCTATCAGAAACAATGTTCTATTTGGTCAAAAATATGTAGAAGAGAAGTATAATAAAATTTTAGATTCAACTTGTCTGAAACCAGACTTGGAAATTCTTCCTGGTGGCGATAATACCGAAGTAGGAGAAAAGGTACACATTTGGCTAGAGAGAAAAATTAATGTATGACTCAAGCTTTTAAGATTAAGCACACACGTGCATATATACTAACAAATGTTGTTCTGAGCTTGGTCGAGTGACTAGTGCGATGGAGTGAGAGTCTGAGGTTCGAGACATGATGATGTTGAATATACTCCATATTCTCGGCTGTGGTGCATTATAAAAGTAAGAGTCAGTCCTATTATCTGGTTCAAAGACCTGAACAAAGCCATTGTGGTGATAGTTACCACTGGCTATATCTGAAACCTGGGACTATCTGACCAGACTGATTAGTCCACATGCATATAAAGTGCCATTCATTTTGAAAATTTAAATTTCCAGTTTTATTAATGACTGTAATGTAATTGTATACTTCAAGTTAATACTCACAGAGACTGAAATCTAATCCTTAGCTGAAACCTAAACTGTAAGAAAAGCTCAACTTTTCTAAAGCTGTGTAAAGGCTTAACATTTTAATCATACTCAGTGACATAATTCAATAGTCACTTCAATTTACATAAAACGTTCTAAAATAATATTATTTGAAACTCCATTATAACAATAAAAGGGAAAGCAGCACTGAAATTATTTTATATATATATCTAGAACTTAATTACAGTTTGAATTCCAGTACCACTTCACCAAAACTTACATAAAATATTGTTTGTTTCTCTTGATCACACTTTCAGAATGGCATATAATAAAAAGAAAGCTTTTTTAAAGTAACAGAATCTATAATACAAGTTCTCTATATAAATATAATAGTACTGTCTGTTGTATGTATCTATATAAATATAATAGTACTGTCTGTTGTCTGTTATCCATATAAATATAATAGTACTGTCTGTTGTCTGTTATCCATATAAATATAATAGTACTGTCTGGTGTATGTTTTCCATATAAATATAATAGTACTGTCTGTTGTCTGTTATCCATATAAATATAATAGTACTGTCTGTTGTATGTATCTATATAAATATAATAGTACTGTCTGTTGTCTGTTATCCATATAAATATAATAGTACTGTCTGTTGTCTGTTATCCATATAAATATAATAGTACTGTCTGTTGTCTGTTATCCATATAAATATAATAGTACTGTCTGTTGTATGTATCTATATAAATATAATAGTACTGTCTGTTGTATGTCCACATATCTGCTTCGCAGGGTGTGGATAGATCTTCACCAAATTTGGCATGAAGGTTTATTGGGTCCATGCAGAGATACAAATTTTCAGTTTTGCAGTTTTTACAATTATTTATAAGGGAAGCAACTTTTCATGTCCTAAGATAACCTTTCATTAATCATGAATTTACATAACTTCCATTGAGGGGATGGGTACTCCAGCTAGTAAAACGATATTTTTAACTTTGTAGTGGATTTAAATCTGCATATCTGTCATTATTCATATAATGTTCATATCAGTGATATAACAATGAGTAGGCATGAATGGCCCATAGTCTGCTCACTCAACATCCAAGTAGTCTGCTTGATTGTTTTTCTACTTCAGGATTCACCACATGGAACACTTATTTTGTTGTTTAGCTCCCTGTATCTTTCCTCCAAGGTTTTATATGCCTCCAGCCCATCCATCATAATTCTAAACCTACACAAGATTTTGTACCTGACTACACCACTGGTACATGTGTTATAAGCCTTAATATTCTTTGAATATACATGTGTCTATTTAACTAAATTTGCAGTGTCCTGGACATGCTTTTTATTGTAGAAGATCATGATTTACAGTTTACATACCAAACTAGTACATTAATGTATGTGTTCGTTTTACGTATACCTAATTAAAGTCCTGTTACAAGGTTGTTATCCTTTCTTCTAATAACAATATGAAATTTATTATCCAAAGAATTAATTTGGTTTGCTTTGTGAATATATGTAGGGTATCAACGTTAGTGGAGGTCAGAAACAGAGAATATCACTAGCACGGGCAGTATATAATGATGCTGATGTGTACTTGTTGGATGATCCCCTCAGTGCTGTTGACTCCCATGTTGGTAAACACATATTTGACAATATTCTGGGACCTAAAGGATTACTCAAAGGAAAGGTAAAATAAATTTAGAAGTAATCTCAAAGAACAACTAATCAAGTTTTGACTTACCTTTATTTACTAAACAATAGTATATGTACTGTTTATTTCACTGTAAAGTAATATATGCACTGTTTATTCTACAGCACAGTAACATGTGCACTGTTTATTCTACTATACAGTAATATGTGCACTATTTATTCTACAGCACAGTGAATAAATAGTGCACATGTTACTGTGTAGTAGAATAAACAGTGCACATGTTAGAATAAACAGTGCACATGTTACTGTGCAGTAAAATAAACAGTGCACATGTTACTGTGCTGTAACTGCAGATTAAGATATGACCTGTTTATTCTACAGCACAGTAACATGTGCACTGTTTATTCTACAGCACAGTAACATGTGCATGGTTTATTTTACTGCACAGTAACATATACACTGTTTATTCTACAGCACAGTAATCTATGTGGGGTTTATTTTACTGCACAGTAACATATGGATCATTTATTCTATTGTACAGTAATATATGCAGTTTATTTCACTGTACAGCAAAACACCATGAATAGTTTAACCCTATCTCCACAGGTATCCTTTAATGCACATGACACAAGGTTTTAGTGTCTTACGTTCAAAATTTTATTAAACTACTTTTTGTTTATGTTATACAATCAGAATAGCATAAAATCATAGCTAATAATCCATATTTTAATAGTATACAATTTTTAAGTTCTTAATTTTATAAGTCAATATTTTAAAAAATCCAGAATTCTCCGTAGTGTGACACATGTGACACATTTTTTCTGGCATGTCCTCTTCTCTATTTTATCCACCACCCCCTCCAATAACTACGAAATTAAATGTAAATCACTACTATAAAATTGTCATTGCTCAGACAAAACATAATTTTTATAGCCTTCAATTTTTTTTGCTTACAGGGCTATCAAACAGAAAATCAGACCTTTCTTGCCATACCCGCCTGTCACATCTTCCCTTTCAGGATTTGTTAATAGCTTTCTCTTATGTTTAGTTCTATATTAACTATAATCAAAGAAAGCCAGGGTTTTCATCTGTCAAATGACGTATTATGTTATGTTTTGAACAGATAATTGTCAATTTCACTTTCAGTAGAAGCTTCATTCCCACAGGAAAGATAATGAATAACTTGGATGAATTTGTAACGGCTCTTGTCACATAATTAGAAAGCCAGTAAAATTGTGATTGTTAGAGGAAATTGTTTGCTTTTTTGCATGTTATTATTCTTTGTTCTTTTGTGCATTATTTAATTAAATACAAATTATTTAATGCACTACTACCATTAATATCAAATAGTAGGGTTAAATGTCGTCGACAGTAAAAAAAAAAGAATACACGAGTAAGTACTTAATTTCTTGTTTTTCATATTTATTCATTATTATAAAAAATAACTAAAATGTAAAATTAGTGATCCCTTTAAGTTAGTTAAGGTTAGATAAAAATGTTTCATGAGGCATGCATGCGAGCGGTTCGTGGGTAAGGTAATTTGATAGCGTAATGTGAGCTTCACATTCCCCAAGTGATTTACAACTTATAATGGTGCGAATAGTAGTTAGACATGGTTCAAAGGGCAATAAAATGTAGTTATAAATAGATGTATACTGTTACGAATTTAAAGGTACTTAGGATAAACGAATGTAGTTTCATGTTGCAATTTGAGGTCATTCTAGAAAAAAAAAGGAGGGTAATTTAGATTTATTTTGATTTCGTTTTGGTGGTTACAAGGTCAAATTGACCAGCCTTGTATAGAGTTAGGAAATAATAGCTAAATTATATAGTTTTACTGAAAACAAACATCTGAAATGTATTTAGAAAGTTTTAGAGATTACACAAATGAGATTTTTGAAATGAAGAACAGTATTTTTACTCTTAATATGAAATTCATTTTGCACACAGACTATTCAATACAAATACTCGATGTAGTCACGGACAAATCTTTTTTTAGTTTATTTAAAATACTTCACTAAAAGATATGACTTTTTGTATGTGAAAGACATAATGTTTACTGAATAACTGCCAAATGTTGTGAAGATATACATATAATGTGAAAAATTAGTAGTATCAAATCTATAGACTTTAATCGAGTACAAAGAGGTCATGTGGTCTGTCAGATCGACCAAGCCTGTGTTGAGAGAGTTAAGCCAGAATGTTGAGAATATAAAATGTCTTTCGTCTTTTTGCAAGTGTGCATGGCTTATGAATTCTTGGTATCTTTGGTATTTTTATATGTTTTTCTTATATATATATATATATATATATGTAGAACTGATAACCTAATGAAAATGATAGATTCTTGATATATACAAGCATATATCATGTTAAAAAGGATTTCTATTGCATTTCTTTCACCCAGACTGTTGTGTTGATAACACACAAAATTTCCATCTTGCCACAAGTGGATACCATTTTAGTAGTGAAGGATGGTTGTCTCACAGAGTCTGGTTCGTACAGTGAACTTCTAAGCAGAAAGGGAGCCTTTGCTGATTTCCTGATACAATATTTGTCTGAGGAGGTAGAGGAGGCTGAAACTGTTGACCCTGAAGAGATTGAATTAATTGAGAATGTTGTTGCAAGTGTGGGTCCACATCCAGAGCTGGAAAGGTATGTTTTCAAGATTCACAATCTCAAAAAGTAAGATAAATAGGTTATTTATTACATCACAGTGCCTATAAAGCACAGTATATTCAGTATGCTGTAAGAGAGAGGAATATTCACAATGTAGAATATTATCGTATTTTTTTCTGTTGGCTATATGTATGTTTCTCTTGATAAATTTCATGGCTAAATGTCAATGAAAGCAACAAGTATTGGTCAGAATTTAAAAAAAAGTTGTAAGGTTTATTTGCCCATTCTTCAAAGTTAGACTAAGGGATGCATTTAAGATATTACTCTTGTTATGAACTTATCAGTTTGTCTTTTCTTTAAAGACATTTGTCACGACTTAGCGGCAATGAAAGTGAAGGAGGACAGCGGTCAGAATCAGAAAAATTGACTCGTGTATTATCCACCTTTTCATCTAAAGATGGGCTAAGGAAACGAATTAAATCTGGAAGTTCCCAGGTAGAACAAGTGAAAAAAGACAAGCTAAGCTCTGCACCTAACTCCAAACTTATAGATGCAGAGTTTACAGAAGTTGGGTCGGTAAGTGCAAACATATTTCATGATGATTTTAATCAGGTGGCGACACAATATGCAGAAGTTGGGTTATTGGGTGCACATATATTTCAAGATGTATTTAATCAGATGGTAATACAATATATATAGAAGTCAGGTTGGTAAGTGCAAACATATTTCAAGATGTATTTAATCAGATGGTAATACAATATATATAGAAGTCAGGTTGGTAAGTGCAAACATATTTCAAGATGTATTTAATCAGATGGTAATACAATATATAGAAGTCAGGTTGGTAAGTGCAAACATATTTCAAGATGTATTTAATCAGATGGTAATACAATATATAGAAGTCAGGTTGGTAAGTGCAAACATATTTCAAGATGTATTTAATCAGATGGAAATACAATATATATAGAAGTCAGGTTGGTAAGTGCAAACATATTTCAAGATGTATTGAATCAGATGGTAATACAATATATAAAAGTCAGGTTGGTAAATTCAAACATATTTCAAGATGTATTGAATCAGATGGTAATACAATATATAGAAGTCAGGTTGGTAAATGCAAACATATTTTAAGATACATTTGATCAGATGGTAATACAATATATAGAAGTCAGGTTGGTAAGTGCAAAAATATTTCAAGATGTATTGAATCAGATGGTAATACAATATATAGAAGTCAGGTTGGTAAATGCAAACATATTTTAAGATCAGGGGACAATATAATAAGAAGTTAGGTCAGTAGGTGCAAACATATTTTGTGGTATGCTTAATTAGGTAAAAATACAGTGTACAAAAGGTGGGCTGGTAGTTGCAGACATATTTCTTTATACATTTATTCACCAAGCAAGGTTGAGTTAAAGTAAGCAAGTCATGACCTTTCACAGAACTACATTCAAAATTTAATAACTCAACTTATTAATAAACTACTCATCAAAATGTAGTTTATAATTCAAATTTTAGTATTATATAAATTTTAATTTCTTGATTCCAAAATACAATATTTAAATAGGAATTGTCAATCTTCACTTCTCTGTATCACTTCACACTTGTTTGCTCTGAATTACCCATTTTAAATTTATTTTTCCATCCCTCTATTATTTCTTTGTTTTGTTTGGGAGGGATACACATTTATACATTATATATCACCAAGCTAAATATAATTTTTATCATCTCTGTGTTTCCTGCTTTATGTAAATATAAACCAGAAAGACTAACCCATATGCCACACCCCTACTAGTATATTCTGTCTTTCAAAAATGTTAATATTTCTGTAGGTCATTTACTGTTGGATTATTTCTAACCAATAGAAAGAGAATACTCCAATTTACTGAATGAAACAAGGCCTGTAGTTCTTGGGATAACCAGTTTTGAATTTGAGTCCACAAACATGATGACATGGCCTTTGACCCATGACCCATCTGGAGAGGGTTAATGCTCTTGAGGTCTAAGTACATGTACAGTAGAAAAACTAAAAAATAACTTTGTGAAGACAAAAGGATGCATCTAGGTCATAGTATATAAAATGTAGAAGTGAAAATAGCCCATTATTTATTGTATGAGGAAAAATTCTGTTTGACAATTAACTCTGTTTCCAAGATAAAACCCTGATACTTTTCGTGGCATTTTGGAGTATTTTTGTTGTTCTTTATATTGTTTTTAAGTTTAAAAAAACTTAATATATTCTATACATCAAGATATTTATACAATGTTTAATATGTTCCTTGTGGGACTGGGCATAGCCTTGTGGCTAGTATGCCAGACTGTGAATCTGAGGGTCCATGGTTTGCATCCCATTGCCACAGAAACTTGTTTCACACTTTGGGGGTTGCCAGTGCATATAACAATAACACTCAAATCCCACTATTTAATTAGAGTAGTGGTTTAAGTATTGTATGTATTTTGCATTAATAACATCTCTAGCAAGTGAATTTTGAATGTATTTTAATAACAAATAAAAGTGAAAGGTCCTAGAGAAATTTAAACTTTACTTATGAGTTCATTGATGAATTTTTCCTTGACATAATGTTGTAATTAGTTTAAATTAGTTCACAGTAATCTTTGTGGTTTTTGTTTACCTTTGTTCTTATCCATTCCTTCATACAATGTTATTTTACTTATCTACAGCTGATTATAATGTATCTCTTAGTGTAAATACTCGTTCATTCTGAACTGTGAATCTGATTCTACTTTCAGGTTAAATGGTCGGTGTATCTTGCCTATATTAAAGCTATTGGTGTATGGGGGATTGTCATCACATTTATTTCGTACATAGTATCTCATGCCTTCAGTCTTGGTGCCAATATCTGGCTTAGTGAATGGAGTAATGATGCTGAAAACCCTGAGAAAGCTTTAGATATACATCTTCGAAACTTGCGACTTGGAGTGTATAGTGCTTTAGGTAGCTGTGAAGGTAGGTGTAGAATTCAGTTATTTGAGTGTCGTCATTCAGCATATTGTTTAATACTCTGTCATTTTTTTCACATGATATTACATTCTTTACTTTGTTACTTGATATATTCGTATCAGTCAACTTTTATATTTATAATAAGAAGTTTATGTAATTTCACCTGGATGATTTTGAATCACAGCAACCTTTTTTTTTTTCATTGGACCATAGTCTATCTTTTTCAAGAATCAATTTTGTAGACATCTAAAAGTGTTTTTATGCTTGTTAAGAGTTAGTTTGATTACTTTCGGGTTAACCATAAGCCGTTTAAAAACTTTTTTTTATTCTAAAAGTTTGATTTTTGTTACATGTTTGCTTGTGTGTGTGTGTCTTTCTTATCTGTTTAATGTTTTTAGTTTACTTTAACATACAGCTTGAAATATTTGAAGTTTATTTATGTTTTTATTTCTATTTCTTCTTTTAAATTCTTAATACCTGTCTTCTAAATGGATAAAATGGTTAATATGTTTTATCTTAATATTCTTTTCTAGCTATCTTTGTTCTGATTGCAACAATTATGTTGAACCTGGCAACACTCTGGGGTTCCAAAATTCTACATGACAATATGTTAGAACATATTATGAAATGTCCTATGTCATTTTTTGATACCACTCCAATGGGAAGAATTCTGAACCGGTTTTCCAAAGATGTAGATACAACAGACATTGTTATTCGCTCTAGTATTCGTCTCTTTCTCCTTCAGTGCTTTCGTTCTACAGTTGCTTTTATCGGTATATGTTTAGAAACACCAATTTTTCTTGCTGTGCTTCTGCCTTTGGGTGTTTGCTATACTTTACTTCAGGTAATTGTTGTTTTCTATCTTTAATGTTTTACTTTAGGTGGTTTCTAATTAACTAAAGCCTCATTTAAAATGCACTTTCATGAAAATAGTAAATATTACTGGTATAAGCATTGTTCTGTATTTTTAGTGTATGGGGCAGAATTCAGAATTCTCTGTAGCTTCTTGAAATCTTTTGAATACTTTATTAACACATCCACAGCTCTCTGTATCTGTCTTGAAGTATTTTTAAATAAATTAACACATTCACCCCCCAGTGGCAAATCTGAAGGCTTATAATGCTAAAAACCAGGTTTTCATACCTGTGGTGGGCACAGAACAGATAGCCCCTTGTGTAGCTTGTGTGACGAGGTAATGCCTCGTGGAATTGGTGCCGTGTTGTAGAAGAGCAAACAATCTTAGATGCAGGTGTCATGCTGCTTCTTCTGTATAAAACTCCAATAAAAAAATCTTTATGAGCTGTTAAGTAATGGATGTGTTAATGAGAAAGTAACAGGTACAAAAACATTGTTCCTATCTCCTCAACTCGAAGAAAGAATTTTTTTTCATTAGGTATAAGTTACCCTTCGCTTTACTTTCAGGTCTTGGGTGTTATTTAAACTTTGGTAAATAAAAGAAGAGATGATGTCATGTGCTGTGATGTTTACCGTAAGATACGTATAAGTTTTATAATTTTTAATAAAAATGCTCTACTTAGTAATTTTGCTTTCCTGGATGGAATAACTCAACAATAAAGCACAAACCACTTTAAAGAAAAATCTGGTGATGTTATTCAAAATCGGTTGTGTTTGTAAAAAAATTGATTGAAAAGAAGCCAGCCTTACAAGAATCTTTATATACATCACTGCCATTGTATCAATACCAGAAGTATTTCACTTTGTTATGTTAATGTTGACCCTACACAAACAAAATCTCTGTACATTCTAGTGTTGAGTAATTATTGCATAATTAGTTATTTTTGTTTACTGTCAATCACTGAAAACAGTAAATCAAAATTTGTGAAACGACATTTAATTATTGATGTAACAGTTTAGAGTTTATCAACTGTTTACGTGTTATTATTTACATGATCATTCCTTCACTTTCAATCTTTAGTTGTATTTTATTAATAAATTTCATCTGATTAATATGATACACACTTTTGTAGTCAGCAACACCCTAATAATGATGTATTCTTAAAAATCTAGGAGGAAAAAAAAACTGCATGCATAGGTTTTTTTTTACTTTCTTTGCCACAAACATTAAAAATTTCCATTGATACAGTTATTGAATCTTTTCCAGAGATTCTACATTAATACTTCACGCCAACTTAAAAGGTTGGAGTCCATCACCCGTTCACCAATTTACACCCACTTCTCAGAAACTGTTACTGGAACAACCTCCATACGAGCTTTTGGAGCCACTGAACGCTTCATTTTAGAATCAAATAACAGAGTTGACTTCAATCATTCCAGTTATTTACCTAGTATTGCTGCAAACAGGTATGTTTATTATTAGTTTTTTTTATACAGCATAAGTTTTCCTGTGGAGTCATAGTAAAACATGAAATCGAATGTTTGATTTATGATAGATTAGAAAATAAAATTCTGTAAGGTTTTCAAGTCTACTGACTTCCTGCATATTTAGGTTGTTTTGTTTTTTTTGCACCATTGCTCTAAGTTTTGAAAGGGTGTGGCTTGCACTTTCAGCAAATGTTGTAAACAGGAGTGAGTTTGTATTGTAAGTAACAATAAAAAAAGCTATGTATAATACATTTAGTTTGGTGTCTCACCTGATTACTTAAATAAACTGAGTGGTTGTATTATCCATGCCAAGTTGTCAACTAAATAACCACTTTACTGAAGTCACAGTATTTGTATCTGCATTAGTGAGTTGTTACTGAAAACTACTGTGCAGCCAGTTATGAGTTGTGAAGAATGTTTAAAGTTTCTTTCGTGTCTTTAGACGTATCTTTTATTACTGTTAAAGCTACTGAAAGAACAGCTTCTAATTCTGTTTCAGATGAATATGCTAAAAAATATTGCAATCAGTAAAATAATTACTTAAAAATTATGCAGTCAGCAAATTCTTTGATTCTATTTTATGTTACGGTACTTAAAATTGGTTGGTTTTGGACTTGTATTAAAAGCCAGTAGAATTTTTGTTGAAAAAGTTGACAACTCTAAATTGTCATGGAAATAACAAAATAGTATTTTTATTTTAATCATGTTAATAGGGTGTAAAAGAGAGTTTTTTGTGTGTGTTTCCTTTTTGTATAGCATTAACTTTCAACCAATTTTCAAGCATATATTGCAATATCAGTTAGCATCTGAACAATTTTAATAACATGATTAATTAATTTGACTAATGAAAGGTTCATGCGAGTTTTAAATATTTTCATACGACTGTAAGTAGAAGGTGTATATATATATCCTGACAGAAAACCTTTCTAGTTGTAGCATCAGAAATAAGTGATGTTTTTGAACACCAATAGATGGAAATGATTTGTTACTAAATATCATAAACGGGCGTTTAAATCAGATCATAGTATACGAAAATTAAAAGAAACACTAGTCTGTGCAATACATTTTCTACTTTCATATCAGTCCAACATAGCATTTAATCACAGTAACACAAATAAAGTTTAACTTTTAACCCCTTCTGTGATTTGCTTGAGATAACTCAATTGTCATCCATGTTTCAAAAATATTTGGGGCCTGGTATGGCCAGGTGGTTAAGGTGATTGACTTAGGATCTGAGGGTCGTGAGTTCAATTCCCTGTCCCACCAAACATGCTTACCCTTTCACCCGTGGGGGCGTTATAATGTGACAGTAGCCCAAGAGTTGGTGGTGGGTGATGGTGACTAGCTGCTTTCCCTCTAGTCTTTCACTTCTAAATTAGGATGACTAGCACAGATAGCCCTGATGTTGCTTTGTGCAAAATTCACAACAAACCAAACCAAAAATTATTTGTTCAAATTAATTAGGACAAACTATTTCTCACCATATTTTTAATTATTTGCCCAAATTTATTCACATGTTATCACGTATTATAATATGCTATCAAAAAGCAAAATGAAAAAAAACTGATGTTTTTTTAGTTGATTTCAAAAAAAGAAAAGAAAACCTAACACATATGGATTAAAGTGAGAATTAGTTAAGTAAGTTAGTTGAGGAAAATCACTATGAAGTCTTAAAGCTTAAATAACCCTCTTTTTTTTTTAATTGATTTATTTGATTTACGTCTTTATATTTGTTTAAAATTCGATTTTCATACATTTAAGGTTTATTCTAATTTAACTTGAAGGTAAGAAATTCATTTTATTCAAAAAGTGTTTTAGAACTTTTGGTGTATCTTTTAGTAGTAACACTGGACTCGAACATTAAATCCTTGTGAACAAATTATGGAGATATATGAACTGTGAAGCAGATGGGATAAACTGTCTGGACACAGTAAAATAAAAAGGACTACCTGCCAGCATTTCTGCTAATAAGTAACGTAACAATTAGTTTAAGTGATAAGTCTGACCAATGAAATATATTTCGCACCTTACTGAAATTTTGTTTTCATTTCCTCACAATATGTATGTTTTTTCGTTTTTTTCAACATTTCAGATGGTTAGCCATTCGTCTGGAATTCCTAGGTTACTGCATTGTGTTTTTTTCTGCCTTATTTGCAGTTCTCACAAAAGGTACAATAAGTCCCGGGCTTGCAGGCATGTCTATCAGCTATGCTTTAACAGTAAGTAATTGTATTTTAATCACTAATTGAACAACCATTAAATTTGTAAGGTTTATTGTATATTGGTATGTTGTTTGTGCTGTTTAACTACATTACTTTTCAACACTTCTGTGACATTTTGCACTTCAACCACAACACTTCAATTAATTAAGACTTGAAATAACAGCTTTAAGTAACAGCTATGTTCTTCATGGAAGTTTTTGCAACTAAAATAATCATTCTTTGCCTATTTTTTATTTCACTGTGAATGTGAGAAGAAGTCTATAAGGACATTTATTTCTCTCTATTAAGGTGACTGCCAACTTGAACTTGCTCGTACTAGCCAGTTCTAATGTAGAAACCAATATTGTGTCTGTGGAAAGGTGTTTGGAGTATACAGTAACTCCTACAGAGGTAAACTGTGGTTTACATTAATAATTATTATATTTTAGTGTATACAGCACAGGTGCAAGTCTATTAATTTATTTATGACTAAAGAGTATTACAAATGTCACTTCCCAGAAGGGGTATAAAAATTTCTGAAAGCTTGCAGTTCAGTGCCCAAAATGTGAGTTATCCTGAAAATAATTTGAAACAGCACAAGGTTAGTTTAATACTTATATATTAAACACATCATCCTGTAGCCAGTTTTATGACTTATGGTATTTCACAGGATTTTCATTTGCCCAAGAAAGCTCATTGAATTGGTATATTGAGGTAATTCTGGTTTAGTGGTCACTTAATACAATTACCACTCTCCAAAGAACTTTAAGGGGAAATACAAGTTGTCATAATGTCTGTGAAGTTCTTTTCATTGAACGTAATATTTAAAGAATTAACATAAGATAACTTTAAACCTTGTTAGCTCTTTCAGTCATATTTATTAGAGTTACATTCACAATCTTATTATCAATGACATGTTAATAAACTTGGAATCAAAACACAGTTTATTATTTAAATTTTGATGTTATCTAAGTTTTAATTTCTTGCTTTCAAAAGAAAATATTTAGAAAATTTCTGTCTTTACTTTTCTTTGTCATATGACACATCTGCCTTCTGAATTCTCCCATTTAGACTTTATAGCTTCAAAGGCACACTGTCTATAGTGCCTAACCAATTAGAAACACAAATCACATACTGACAAGGAAGAATATAAAATTTGAACTCCTACCTTCTTGATTTTTTTGAAATATCAATAGATTTCTTAAACCCACCAGAGGGAGCCCTTCACATTTTTTCAGCATTTCAAGCACATTTTTTCACTTGGGAATTTTAAGTTTGTTTGTTTAGTTTAGGTAAAGCTGTAAAGCTTGATGTGTGTTGAGTAAATTTCTTTACCTATTTGATACTTAGTTAGAAAGCCAGCTAAATTATAATAACTTTGGAGCATTGTATTCTAGTGCCTGTTATATTTTTGGTGTTCTAATATGCACATTTGAAAGCTAAATGAATTATTTTTGGAGAACCAAGATAATGAGAAAATAGTAGGGTTAGTGAAGCCTGGCTTCCAAGTGCAAATAACCTTGGCACCTAAAGTAAATGCTAAATTTCCGTTATTTATTGTTATGTATATTATTTAACAAAAGTAACTAAAATGTAAAAATAAGAAACTTCTTAGATAGGTAACAAGATTTACATAAAACTTAATTTGATGAGAAAGCTAGAAAGGATTTTGCAATTGCTGCTTGACTGTAATCTAATTGTTTGTTTACCCTAAGTAGTACTGGAAGCATCCTGCTGTGACTTGTTGCTTCTCCTACAGAGAGAAGATCCAAAGTACAGTAATAAAACCATAAAATTAAAGAAAAGCAGATTGAACCTGAGGCTGTTAAGATTTATAATTGTAATTGTCTGCTGCAATCTGCAATCATTCTAGAAAAAAAGAAGAGGGTATTATTGATTTTTTGTTCTTTGCATTTTGGTACTTTTCACTTCACTGTACATTGATGATTTAGTACAGTTAGTGTTAGAATAGAAAAAATAAGAAATAAAATATAAAGTTTTACCAAAAATAATATTTCAATATTCATTTCGAAGGTTCTAGAGGTTATGCAAATGAAATATGAAAACTGTGAAATCGAAAGAAGTGTTTTTATTCTAATCATGAAAATCACCTTTCACTGAGACTGACTGATTTAAAGGTTTCATAAATTTACAGACAAATCTCTAATTAAAAATCTCTAATCTTTAATTATTTCTTTTAAATGTACAACAGACATATAAGGTTTAGTTAGATCTTGTCAGATTTCTTGAAGATTCACCTAGTAAATTCAGGGTTATGTATTGTTTCATATTTCTCAGGTGGGTCAAATAGACACACTTCATATTGAAAAAGTTAATGTTTATTACTACTTTTCCAGGGTTAGTGATGCTTCATTAAAATGTGATTTGGAAACTTTATTGCAAAATGTGATCCAGAACAAAACAAAGTAAACCATTTCTGTCTGGTCACAAAATATTCAGACTGAAAACAAAGTGATTTACTGAACTTGGATCACAAAAAAAAGTAACTTTACATTTTTTGATGAACAAGTTAGATATATTGTTTTAAATGAGCACATTTAATGTCTTGGTGTAAAGGATGTTTCTACTTCCTTGTTTTTAAAGAATGTTAATATATACAGTTTCATTTTGCTTGCTGTAAAGACATGTTGAGATGGGCATGACTTTGTGGTTGCTTAGACTCTGAATCTTGGGGCTCATGAATTGCAGCCCATTGCCACAAAACATCTTTGCACTTTGTGGTCATAGGTTTGCTATAAGAGTGATATTTGTATTTCACTATTCAATCAGACAAGAGTTAATGGTAAGTGCCAGTAACTCCCAACCTTTATCCAAGGACCAACTAGTTCCGACTCCAAAATTGTATGAACCAGCTTGTACAAAAAAGGACAAATTTTTAAAGTACTTTCAAATTTCATTTTAAAACAATACACTTCATTATCAATATTTTAAAACATTTTTTTCTCAACTGTCTGGTGGACTAGCAGAAATCTCTGTGGACTGGCAGTTGAGAACCACTGTTCTAGTCTGACAGTTTCAAGTTAGGCACAGCTATGAGCAGACAGCCTGTTATTATAACATTGGGTGAAAATTCTGAAAGAAGCATACATGATAAGGATCCATTGTCTTTACAGTCTGATCTCCTAAACTACTATTCTGAATCTCTAAGATTGAAACAAAATGAGTCTTCTTAGAAGATGTAAGAATAGAAAGGTTTTTTCAAATCTTAGTGTACAGATATACAGTTGTGTTTCAAAGTTTTACTACCATTCGTGTTAGCTGCAAATTGTCAGGTATGGGATTTGATGATGATAATACTCTTTTTTAAGTATAAAGTAAATGACTGTTATAATTACATTATGTCAGGCTAGTAAGAGTTAATCTGAAACACTGTGTATCGGGGCTCTGTTAAATCTTTTTTTTTTCAGCAATTATTACATTTCTGTTGACACTGAATTTAATAACTGTTTATGCAATGGTAATGTCGTAGCATTGCTTTAGTTATGATTAAACACGGGTTTATTTACAGATATGTTAACATAAAAGCAAGCATATTAATTGCTTTTATGATCAGAAATAGTATTGTTTTTCTTCAAAAAGACAAGGGTTTATCAATGCATAATGTTAAATCTAAGAACAAACATATTAATTGTTATTGAGAATTAAAGTACAGTGTTCTTGGGGGTGGATGTATTAATATAGAAATTTTTCAAGATTGATATACGTGATAATTTTACCACAAAATAAGTTTCATATTTAAATTTTTTGGTTAACAGGCTGCTTGGCATTGTGAGTCCAATAAACCAAACAAGTCATGGCCAGATTCTGGCAATGTTGTATTTGATGACTACACCACACGATATCGAGAGGGTTTGGATCTGGTGTTGCGGGGCATTTCCTGTAACATTAATGCTGGAGAAATGGTAAAAATGGGACATCTGAGCTTATGGTGCAGTGTTATCTTATCTTTCACTTACATTTTTTTGCTAAATTCAGTAAACTAATTGTTTTACTTGGTACGTTAATAAGCTGTTAATCTATTTTATACTTTAGACATCAATTCATGTAATTGTTTTAAAAACAAGTATTTATTTCAAAGTGCATTTATACCATTAAAATAAACATCAATATGTAATATAGTTAACTAGCTCTTGCCTTCAAATCTCACCTTGTATATATTAATTTTTGAGTAAACTAAACTTAAGAACACTACTAGAAGTAAAATTGTGTCATGGTTTTTATCGGTTATCAAATATTTTCCATCAATCACCACATTGGTAACTTAGAACAGTGACATCTATTGATTAAAAACAAAATTAAGTTTATATATATATCTATATGAAGCTGATTTGTTTATGAGTTGCTCTTTTATCAACTCTTTACTTATGAATTTGTTGCATATATTTTTGTCTCTTACAAAACTTTAAGGTTAGTGATTTTACTGTTAGGCCTGTTTTTCCCAAGAAATACTAAATATTTCAATTAAGTGGCTTTAATAATTAAAGAAGCATATGAGTTGTTCAGAATTAAGTAGTTCATAACTGTTGACTCAGCCTTTGTCCAATTACACAAGCACATAAAACAAAAAAAACAGATCAAACACTTTAACTCCATGGACAAAGGTTTGGTTAGACAATAAACAAAGTTCAGTTTGTGTGACTCTTATAACTAATAAAAATTAATAAATTGGGTGAGCTGCCAAAGTGAATTATGTATTTAGGATGAAATATTTTATTATGCAAATCAAACGGGCTCCAGGAAATGTTAGCCATTGCAAAACGAACATTTTGCATTGCAAAACGAATGTCACATTAGTGTAAGTTTACTATTTTTTAGCACATTTTGTTATATTAAACACAATATACCTTTTTACAATAATGTAATATTTTTCACTGCTGGATATATGTAGTATAACTTATGGCTAGGTAGAAGTTATGATGAAACCAATATATTTGGAATTATGATAACAAACTTTACCTTTTTTGGGTTCGTGATGACAAATAGGTTGGAATTGTAGGACGAACAGGTGCAGGAAAATCATCCCTCACTTTGTCGCTCTTCCGTATCATTGAAGCTGCAGGAGGATGCATCACCATAGATGGAATAGACATTGCTAAAATTGGTCTACATGACCTAAGATCAAAGTTAACCATTATTCCTCAGGTCAGTAATGGTAATTGCATATCCATGATTAATATGTTGTCTAATAAAAGGTTAGAATTCTTTTTTTTTTAATCTTCTTTCATTTTTCTACATTTGTTTTTGTTGAACATATTAGTATATTCTTTGGATTTCAATAATATAGTTGTCTTCACTATACAAAAATCAGAAGAAAAACATATCACCTTTCATTACTAGGGAAAGTATTGGCTTTCTCAGTCAATTTATGCCTCAGTTTAATATGAACTAACACTGCCTGGCCCCTAGTGGCTCAGTAGTGAGTCTCTGGACTTATCATGTTAAAAATCTGGTCTCGATAACCATGGTAGGCACAGCACTAAATAGCCCACTGTATAGCTTTGTGCTTAACAATAGCCTAAATTTTGTCAATTTTTTCTTATAAAAAGTCAAAAGTTAATTAAGCATTGCATAAAATCACACAGAGTTTTTGGGTAAGAAGTATAAGCACCACTTTGATTTTTGGAATGTTAAAGATGAGTGAAAAGTTGTTTTAATCAGATGTATTTATAAAGACAGTATGTCATAAAAATCCTTTAAATATGTATGTGTATTTCTTACAGCACTATTTTCAGATAGGTTGCATGTATGTGAATTCCTTACAACTAATTTAAAATAGGTAGTATGTATGTATGTGTATTCCTTACACTAATTTAAAATAGGTAGTATGTATGTATGTGTATTTCTTACAATACTATTTTGAAATAGGTATATTTATTTCTTACAACATTGTTTTTACATAATAAACAGATTTTTATATTTCTTACATTATTTTTACATAATAAACAGATATTTATATTTGTTACAACATTATTTTTACATAATAAACAGATATTTATATTTGTTACAACATTATTTTTACATAATAAACAGATATTTATATTTCTTACAACATTATTTTTACATAATAAACAGATATTTATATTTTTACAACATTATTTTTACATAATAAACAGATATTTATATTTCTTACAACATTATTTTTACATAATAAACAGATATTTATATTTTTACAACATTATTTTTACATAATAAACAGATATTTATATTTCTTACAACATTATTTTTACATAATAAACAGATATTTATATTTCTTACAACATTATTTTTACATAATAAACAGATATTTATATTTCTTACAACACTATTTTCAGATAGTAAACTGTCTTTTTTTTTTACTGGAGTGGTCTAATATTTAACAAGATCCAAGATTTCTAATTGTGCAGTTTACTGACATTACTTACATTTAATACAGTATTGAGTACCAAAAGAAACGTCATATTTTTTCATGAGCTTGAGCATACATTTTCAGTTTTTATACTACTTTTATAGTACCTAAAATGAGTGACATCGTCTGTAGAACTTACCATACCACATACAGACATAAGGTTGTTTTCTAGCTACAATCGTGTTGAGTGAAAAGGGAAGATTCAGAATGTAGAGAAACAATTGTGCTGTACGTAATAATTATGACTAAGAAAGCGACATTTGCTAAGAGAATAAATTGAGGATTATAGCTTATTAATCACACAGCTTATGTGATTTAAGTGGAATGGGTACAGATCTTTTTTTGTCGTTCTTAGAGTTTGTAATGTATACTGGGGTATTGATTCCATCACTGAAATTAGATAATTAAAAACTGTGAGTGACATGATTAATTATGTATATTTGTAGATATCGTATTCTCAACTCTGCTTCTAACCCAAAATTGTTTTCATTCTAATGCATTCTGTGAGTAATAAGAAAATGTAGACACACCTGGGGTTAGATATATTTTCTGTTTCTTACCATTTAAGCCTCCAAATTCCAATGTTATTTAGATAATGATGTTGACCACGATGTGCCAAGGTTATTAACCACCATTATTCTTACCGAGATAAATGTTTTGTCTTTACCCTATCTTGTTGTTTTTGTTCATTCAGTTAAGACCTCCTTTAACGTCAAATGTCTTGTAAGAACTCAACGATACAACAATAATAGCATTATAGTTTTGTCATATTTTAATGCTTGTAAATGATTAATGTAACCTTATTCTTGTGTTCAGCACATTAAAGATTACAATAATCCAAACTACACAAGACAACTAGGTTTTAACCTTGTGATAAAGATATCCGTTAACGTTTGCTACTACTCCTTAGGACCCCGTGTTGTTTACTGGCACGCTGAGGATGAACTTGGACCCCTTCAGCCAATATGATGATGATGCTATTTGGAAATCCATAGAGCTTGCCCATTTGAAAAACTTTGTGTCTGGTTTGGATGCTGGTCTTGATCATGAGGTATCTGAAGGAGGAGAAAACATCAGGTGAAGATTCTAATGAAATGTGATTAAAAACCAATCCTATAATCATGATTTAGTTATCGAATAGCAAATGAATGTAATAAAACTATATAACAGTTTGAATAGTTACACAGGGCCAAATTCAACATCTGGCTTGACTTGGTTCACATCTCGGATTCCTAGTCCACATCAGTTCAGTATTTTACTACTAGGGGTCAAGGCCTGGCATGACCAGGTGGTTAGAGTGTTCGACTCACAATCTGCGGGTCGCGGGTTCGAATCCCTGTCACACCAAACATGCTCATCCTTTCAGCCGTGGGGGGCGTTATAATGGGACGGTCAATCCCACTAATCGTTAGTAAAAGAGTATCCCAATAGTTGGCGGTGGGTGGTGATGAATAGCTGTCTTCCCTCTAGTCTTACACTGCTAAATTAGGGACGGCCAGTGCAGATAGCCCTCGTGTAGCTTTGCTTGAAATTCATAACAAACTAAGGGTCGTGTTCCAAGCAGACAACTTTAAAAACAGTCTTAATGCAATATGCTAAACATTTCTTCAAACGTTCTTCTCATATTTGTATGTTTAATACAGCATAATTAGTAGTAGAAGCCTGTGAATATTTATATACGAGTGAGGTGGTAATTAAATACCGTTTAAGTTGAGTCATAGACAATGATCAAACTAAAAACAGTGTTGTAGTAGTTGTTTATGTAATCTGAAATGAAATGCTGTAATATAGTACTGATAATTTTGAAATTTTACATTTGATCTTCTAGTGCAGGACAGAGACAATTGGTTTGTTTAGCAAGAGCTCTATTAAGAAAATCAAAGATTCTAGTGTTGGATGAGGCCACTGCTGCTGTTGATCTTGAAACAGATGACTTGATCCAGGCTACCATTAGGAAAGAGTTCAGTAATTGCACCGTATTAACCATTGCTCATCGACTCAACACTGTCATGGATTACAACAAGTAAGGCTTTGTTAGCATAATATATATTTTAGCACCAAATGTTTTCGAGATTCTTCCTTTGTGACAAGGAAAATGGAAGTGCATTAAAGTAATGACATGGTACTCCAGTTGTTATACAACAGTTAATATCAAAGTAAACATTAAATATTATATTACCTTTCCAATGTTGAAGGGATACTGTTGACTGACCTTACCACACTGGACTGTGGAGCTGAGAGTATTCTGTGTCCCATTACTTCCAGAACTAGCAGAAATGATGCCCTATGAGCATAATTTAGAATAAATTTAATAAATAATTTAGAAAAAGTGAAGTTTATATCAGCAAAATCCAAACACTTTTCACGTGTAGTATTTCTCAGAAAATGTTTGTTGTTTTTTATCTATTAAAAGTGGTACCCTTTCTTGAAAAAAATAGTTTTGTTTTAAGAACTCCATTTTTTTAGTACTCTTTTTACAAATTACATCAATAAAGTTATAACCAAACCCTCATGTACAGCCCTAGTGAAAGTCGTGTTCTTGTTCTGAGGAGAGTACTTTTATTTACAATTGTGTTCTGTTGTTGCACATACCACAGTTATTTTTTAGTCTGAATCTTGAGTACTCAAAGTGTGAAATGTTTTTATGGATTTTTGTTTATGGTACCATACAATAGATGGCGCCACATTGTATTTATTATTTCGATCACATACCTAGATACATATATACGCGCTACACCCATTGTAGTAATAAAAAGAGAAAAAAAAGATTGAGCTTCACACTTTGGGGCCATGGGTGCATCATAAGAGTAATAGTCAAATCCCACTACTTAATCTTAACAACAATAACTCAAGAGTTGGCAGTGGACAGTGTTGACTAGCTGCCTTCCCTCTAGTCTGTCACTTCAAAAATAGGTACAACTAGTGCACATGGCCCTTGTGTAACTTTGTGGCAAATCTAACAAACAAGCAATGGAACTGTGCACATTTTAAATTATTGATGTCTCACCAAACAAAACCCAAACATTAAATGTAACTTCAGAGTTTGATAGGTGTAAACCCTTTTCATTATGAAAGAGTACAAAAGTGTGTATATAAAAACAATTATAAACCTATATAATATTTGCAGTTGATATTAAGTGTTTCTAAATTTAATCTTATTTTTACTTATTTATTTCATCAGAATTATGGTATTAGACAAAGGCAAGGTTGTTGAGTACGACTCACCAAACAGTCTATTAAAAGATGAAAAAAGCATCTTCCATTCAATGGCGAAGGATGCAGGACTCCTGTAGAAAGAAAGGAAACATTAGGAACTTCTATCTGTTCGAACTGTGAATATTTTGGCATATATTTAAATGTTTTTGAAAAACGAATTTTATTTTGTTTGTAGACATTATACTGTATGTCTAAAGAATTAAATATATGCAATATTTATTTAGTGCTTCTCGAGTTTAGTATGATTGTTGTTGTATTCATACAACGTTTATATTTCTGATATGGACCGGTGACTTGCTCATCTGTTTCATCATGAGGTTTATCAGGAAGTAGTTCTTTTCGTAAATGCTGAATTTATTCCGACTCTTTGGGTTAATTAATTATGTAGGAATCAATACTCAATACTTAAACTTTTACCATGCTAGCAATATGGAAAAACATGTATGTGGAAACACTAGTAAAAAAATTATATAAAACTAGTCAATCGTATAATAACCAGAATTTCTTTCTCACTTAATAAGGTTCTACTAATTTAAAGAAACAAGATAAAACACAAGAGCAACAAGGATTTACAGTGTGTTCATGTAAAACATAAAAAAACATTTCATTTTGGCATTACTTGGAGTAAATTACATGTCGTATGTACTGACATAGACTCATGGTGAGATAAGACTAAACTTTAGTTCTAGCAAATTATTATTTGTACGAATTGAATCCACTTGAGCAGTTGATTCTGCTTGCTATTGAGAATGAATAGAATTAAAATATACACCTGGAAAAAAGTTAAGCACCCCCAAATATTTTTCAGGAGTGCTTATTGAAAATAAG